AGACAGCACTCCTTCAATTCCCACATTACTTGCATCTGTATCTAAGATGAACTCTCCTTCTGGCAGTGGATACCCTAAAATTGGTGCTGTGATTAAATGCTTTTTTAAGGTCTCAAAGGCATTCTGGCAGTCTACATCCCAGCGGTATTCTCTTGCTTCCTCTGTAAGTCGCGTTAATGGTTTAGCGATATCTGCAAACTTCTTAATAAACCTCCGGTAGTAAGTACACAGTCCCAGAAAACTTCTCACTTGGTGTTTGTCAGTTGGTTTTGGCCATTCCTTAATAGAATCGATTTTTCCCTTATCCACAGCCACTCATTCTTTACTGACTATATGACCCAGATAATTGTCTCCCGTCTTTCCTCCTTTCGGTACGAAAATATCACGATACTGCCGAAGAAATTCCCTTAATTTCCTTTTCTCAATCTGATTCAGAGACTGTCCAGCAACCGCAACCATTTGATCAAATTTATCATTGGAATTATCAGACGTTGTCGTCTGACGGATTATGGATGTGACAGGTACACAAGTTCCTACCTTTGTCTCTTTCTTGATGGTCACTGGGTAGTCATTGACATTAATAAGTCTCACAGGAATTTCTTTAGCCGAAGTCACTAATTCTTTTCCAATTATGATTCCACGGCCAACTTCGTCGTCATGATTCCAAGGCTCCATCATAACAGGTGTTCCTTTGTCCACAATTCCCTGTAGCCGCGCTACTATTATCGTTTCACTTCTCGCAGGCACGACTGTATCTTCTTTAACGGCTGCTTGCATAGTGTTGTCATCATGTGGATGGAGAAATACCTCCTCGTTACCAACTTTGATTACCTTATTCTTAAAATCCAATTGGAATCCATGCGTACTCATTACGTCCATTCCTAATATAACATCCTCTTCGATGTCAGCAACTATAACAGTATGGACGAACTTTTCTGCTCCAATTCCTAATTGTACCTGGATTTCTCCATGAATGTTGGCATTTTCACCTGTGGCGGTCCGAAGTCGCAACCTCGTTGGTAACAGTTTCTTTCGGCTGTTTATAACTGTCGGGCGTATAATGGTTCTGGTCTCTCCAGTATCCACCAACAACGTATGCTTTTTACCATTTATTTCTCCATCTACATATACACTATCTTCACGACCTTTCAAAGAAGCTATTAGTATCAGAGGGTCTTTGGTAAAGTTCTGGGTCGAAGCTGCCCCCCTAAGGCCGACCCGTTCTAGTTTTCCTGATGGTGAGTTTCTTGATTTGTGTCGTACCTAGGATGCTTACATGAACTTCGTACGTGTCCTATTTCGCCACAATTCCAGCATCTTATGGTCTTCGTCTTCTTGTATGTCATGCTTTTCATCATATTAACGAGCTGGTCCAGTTTATCTTCATCTTCTTCCTCTTTTACAGTCCTAACTTTACTGTAACCGCCAGAGGCCTGCGTAGCTGACTCGTATTCGAGGGCGGCGGATAAGACATCAACCAGCGTCTTGTGACGAGCTAATCGTAGTGTTCTTTGCATCTCATGATCACGAAGACCATCAAGAAACGTTTGAACGGCCAACTTTTCCATCATGTCTTCGGGAGCTGTTGGATAAGCATATCGCACTAATCTGGCGATATCTACTTCATATTCTTGAAGAGCCTCATCTTTCTTTTGTCTTCGATTTTTGAGCTGTGACTGATATACATGCTCCAAGTGTTCGTGGCCATATCGCATATTTAACCTCTTCTTCAGTTGTTCGAAATCATCCGTCTCCTCTACGGCTATGGTCTGGAGCACATCTAAGGCATCTCCTCGAAGAGCGATAGTCAGGTTTACAGCCTTTTCTTTTTCAGACCATCCATTCGCTCTTGCAGCTGATTCGAACTGTTTCATGTAGTTGTTCCACGATGATTTTCCGTCGAAAGTTGGGACTTTGACATGAACGGAACTTCCACTTCCTTCAAATTTCGGCCGTGTTTCCAACTTACATTTCGTCTCGTCTTCTTTTGTCTCTATGGTAATTGGATTGTTTACTCTCTCTGTTGTTCCTGTTCCCTTAATCTTCCTTTCCAACTCTTTCCATATCTTCTCTTCGAAGGCCATCATATCGGCAGCAACTTGGTTTTTTAATAAAGACACTCTATCGTCGAGAGCAGACATCTCAGAAGTGACTTTAGAGATTTCCAAGGAGATGTTAGCTGAAACTTTGCTTTCTAGGGAAGAGATCTCGTTAGAAATTTTGTCTTCTAAGGAGGCGATGTCACTGCAAACTTGGGCTACATCACCAGAGATTTTGGCTACGTCGGAAGAAACTTTGTTCTCTAATGATGCGATGTCACCAGAAACCTTGGCTATCGACGAGATGACAGCAGCATGCTTGTCTTCAAATATATAAGTTTCCGGATTCAAACCTTCTTTCTCCAAAGCCTTCTTTAGTCGTTGGACTAACTCAGTCTTTTTTCCGGTAGAAGCTAATTCTCTGTCTTCAAGATGCCTTCTTAGATTCGTAACTGTGAGCTCGTAAATCGTAGCCATTGTTCACCAATCCCACTTCTGACACCACTGTTACGTCTTTTTATTGTTCTAATTTATTTGTCCTTATTCTAATTTATTGTCTATATTCTAATTTATTAAAACTCACGATAACTAATTACGAATTTATTAATGTCTTTATTAATCCTAATTACAAATAATTTATTTTCGCTTCGTTACAAGTAAACCGCGTTTCCCGATCTTCTTATGACTGACTGCCAAATAAGAAATCTTTCATTTATATACACAACTGTTGTTATCTCGAAATTTCGGCGGCCTTCTACATTATAATGGAATAATCTCGTACTTTGGTGAAGGCGCTCGACTCGTTTTTCAACCTCGAGACGTGGATTACTCATAAAATTAGGGTCTAGATTTTTCTGTAAATAACTGGTATCGAAGCTCAGGTAGATTTTGACAGTTCTATATGCCATAACATTTAAAATCGTAACAATACATCCAAGCCCAAACATTTATAGAGAACCGTCCGGACTTATCACTTGATGAAATATAGTTTTCGTTAAACCTATTTCGAGGCGGTCTATAAACCCTAATATGGCCATCATAATTAGACTGGAATACTCTTTTATCAGTAAAAATTACACGGTCCCAAAAATTGACTGGATCATTTAAAACGTAATTTAAAGCAAATAGAAGTATACTTTGTTTATGTTCCTCGCTAAATTTGTATTTTCGGGCGGCTGCACAATTTTTTAAATCAGTTCTTCTAATTCTCCTTAATGCTGTAGTTATAGAAGCATTAAAGTTTGTATTAACTTTTGCTTGTCTTGCCGTATGAAAGGAATACGCTCTTAAATAATCAGTTAATGTTTCATCTTCTGCTGTAGTAATAACTGGTCTTCCACTCCCTCTCCTTCTATCCGAAGTTGCTCGTTTTTTCATCTTTTTTTAATGTTGTAGATTGTGGTTTTGCTTCTATTTAACTCTTGAGCCAGTTATCGAATAGACCACCCATCTTCTATTTTTGAAATTTTTCTCGTTTTATCAAACTGACTTAACTGACGTGGCCTCTTTAAAAATTCACTTTGACAAACTTGTCAAATCTGACTGATAGCAAGCAATATTTTTTATGTTTAATCGTTCGGATATGTTCGGGAAGTTTTCACGCACTGATAACATATGTAGATACTAAACCAACATTTTTCAGTTATAAGAGGATTTTTTAAAACAGACGATGATATCTTACTCCCCTTAATTTCCTGTTACTAAACTTATTGACATAACATAACAGTTTGTGTTCTGTAAGTAATTAAAGTATAAAATTGCAGTAGATGCATTTCAATGTTCCCTGTGCCAATATATTAAATATCGTTCAACATTTGGGACATTAACTTAATCCTTTCTCCGGTTTCTTAAATTTATTAGATACGGTTTTTTCTTGTTAATAATAAAAATAATACCTATCTAAAAACTTTATACATTTTTAAACGTTATTTTTTACGTTTTACTTAAATTTACTGAAATTCCCTTATCTGTGATGGCAACAACGAATTGATTCACGAACCATTATGTCCAGTTTGAACACAGGTTTACATTGGGAAAAAAAGTGTACCAGTTTTATATGACGGGAAGTGTACCTCTTTCAGAATTGCTCGAAATACAGATTAAAAAGAAGCGATAATATGATGCACACCTGGCTAACCCCACGAAGAATCAATAGGTTCAGAAGTATTTAGGCCAATTCTGGCATTTTCTTGCTGGTTATAAGAGATTTTGTATAATTGTTAAATCTTTGTCGCCTATTCCTACTCTTCTAAGAATTTTCATCATGTCTAACTTTATCGAAGCACTATTCGAACATCGAAGCATATGTACACAGGATGATTGACATCTCTACACCTCTAAAGAAGCACTTGTAAATCGGCACGCCAAATAGTGCCTCTCTTGTTCCAAAATTGTTCCGGAAACCAAATTGTGCATTACCAAGAATCTATAAGACATGCGTAAGACCAATCATAACCTACGTAATATAAACCAGAACGGAAAAGACGAAGAGAATGCATGTTAAAAACCACAGAAATGCAAAAGTTAAGAGCAATATATAGCACATTATACTCTATATGACCGTAAAAATAATGAAGAAGTAACAGAAGTATGACATTAAAGACGTTGTACGATGGACAAAAAACAAAAAATAAAATAGAGAGGGCATGTTAACTGAATGTCAGAGGATCGGTTAGCTAAAATTGCCAAAGAAAAACGCCCAAATACACCTCGACAGCCTTGACGACCACATACGAGATGGTATGAAAGTTGGTCTTCGTCGTCCTAATTGCTATTGGTGAATCATTGTAGAAAACACAGAACGTAGTCTTAACGTAAAAAGAAACAATAGAAGAAAAGTAAACTAATAAGTTCTATATTTAAGCCTAAACTATCAGATTATTTTTAAATAATGCAAACAAATAATTTTTAATTAAAACATATTTTGGCAACATATTCTTATATTCACAATTATTTTTCTAGTCCTCATGGCGCTCGAGTTTCGGGAGTAGTAGAAGAAACTCCAGGTCGACTGGAATACGAAGTGGCTCTTTATAAAGAAGCTCCAGCTGCAAGAATTAGTAACGTCACAAGCAGCGAACTGCCGGTGGATCAAGCCGTACCTATTGGTACAAAATTACAGCTGAGAGCAAGGATAAGTCCGGATTCCGCTTGGAAATTTGTCAAACTGATGGAAGTTACGGTTAGCCCGGATCCAGACGATCCTCATATGGCAGGCAGTGTAGCTTTAGTTAAAGATGGGTAAGATATATAAAAATTATAATTTATTAGAGAAATGTATGACAAATATTTCTTATTTTACATTATTTGACTTGTTTTCCATTATTATTATTAATCGTACGAAATAGTTGATGAAGTTGACAGACAAAAGTGTATGTTCTACAGAGTGGGAAACTGAAAACAGTGAAATTAGTTTACTCTGATATTTAGTAATATTTATTAGATTTCGTGAAAATGTTGAAACAGGTCTTCCTTGATCAATCGTTAATAAAAACAGAATTTTAATGTTCAAATGCGCTTCTTTTTCTTCCTTCTTATATATAGGCTTTAACGCCTGTTTCTCTTTAATACTAGCCTCTTGGTCTGCCAATACTTCTTCGTCCATTTGGTGACTTATCTCGTGCTATTCGTACTATGCTATCCTCTGCTATTCTAATAATGTGTTCGTTCCACTTCTGTTTCCGTTTTGTCACCCATCCATTTATGTCTTCTATATTGTATGCTTTTCTTATAATTTCGCTTCTCTCCCTATCCAACAGACTATTCCCTGATATTAGTCGAAGTATATTGATCTCTGTTATTTCTACTAGTCGTCTTTTTTAAATGTATCAGGTCTTGTCTCCGCCGTGTATGTTAATATAGGTCTAATTACTGCTTTACAGATTCTTGTTTTTGTGTCTTGTCTTAGGTATTTGTTCTTCCAGATTGTGTCATTAAGAGATCCTGTCGCTTCACTTTCTTTTAATCTTTGTTGTCGTACTTCTTCTTCAACATCTTCGTAACTAGTTATATCTATTCTTATCTCTCAGATGCCGCCTTTGAAGTTTTTCAGCACGCGCGCCATGTTTTAGAAGGAAACACATAAAACAGACATATGATTTGTGAGGTTATGTTATTGTTTATATTTATGTTTAATTATATTATATTCATCTTATTATATTTAACAATGTTAATATATAATTGTATAGTATGTCTATGATTGCCGTAAGTCAATTAAACCGGGTTTTTTTGTCTATGCACATCACATAAACAATACTGGTTCCCTCTAAAACATGGCGGAACGTCTGCGCGAAGGAGATGCGCGTACTTAATTTTCCATGGAGAGTGAGCATTCTGATTGTTTATTATTCTGTGTCTAAACCTTGTTTCCTTCTTCATTATTTTCCATAAATTTTGATTTTATATCGTAGTGGGTATTTAGGTGTTGTCATACATTTGGTTTTTTCTGCTGATATCATATTGTATTTCTTGGCTGTTGTATTGAAGATGTGTGTTAATATTTGGAGCTCGTCTTCTGTCTCGGCAATTTTAGGAGCTCCGTCTGGCCCTGGCGACTTTCTATTTTGAGTGAATTCATGCATATCTCTACTTTCTGAAAACTGATTTCTATTTCGTATTTTAAGTCAGGTACGTTATTGTGTTGATTATTATTTTCCTTTCCTTTAAACGGTTCCGTCAGATATCTTTCCCATTCTTTTGCTTGTATATTATTGTATTCCTTCAATTCGGTCATTTCTTTCCGTTGGTTTCTTATGAATCTCCATATTTGTTTTGTGCACCATAGAAGTCGCTTTCCGTCCTTTTTGTAAACTGTTCCTAGTGTTTATTTTTTGTTCTTCTAACCAACTGCTTTGTTTCATTTCGTATTCTTCTATGGGTATCTCGGGATTCTGGAGTATTTGATGTTTTGTACTTTGTGTAGACCTCTCGTTTCTCTATACATTTCTTTTTTTTATTTTCTGACTTTATGTTTTCCTAGAGCTTCTGTTGCTACTTCTTCAATGTTGTTTATAATATTCTCCCAGCTAGCGTTTATATCTTCGATGTCGGCTATTTGTTCTAGCTGTATCTTCTGTGCTAGCCTCCTTGGTACATTTCTCTTGTAGAGTCGTTCCACAGTGACTCTACATTGAATTTTTCCTCGGTGGGTGATTTTCTGTAGAAAATGTTTTGGTGTTATTTTTAATCTAATTTTTGCTAGTACTAGTTTGTGTTCACTCCCTGCATCTGCTGAGTTTAAAGTTCGGATATCTAGAATATGCTAGTGACTATATCCATTAGTGACTATAAACTCAAATATAGGTTTGTGCTCCCTGGCGTTTTCAAATGTATATTTATACTGGAACTTATGGTCGAAAAATGTATTATTTATTCTCAGTTCGTTAAAAGCACAGATATTAGCCATGAGTTCTCCATTTGCGTTGACATGGTTTTCATTATATATTTGTTTTACTCCTGGAACTATTTCATTTCCGATTCGTGCATTAATATCACTCAAAAGAATTAAGGGTTCTTCATGAGGTATTTCATCCAGGATGGTTTGCAATTGTTCGTAGAATGCCTCTCGTTTCTTCTTAGGTTTGCAGTCCTCGGAACTGTAGATAGATATGACATTTAATGTTTAGTAGTCTATTGTGAGATGGATTGGTCGAAAGAAACTTTCATGGCTGCGTAATATTAGACAATGGTGTGGTTTCACAGTAGAAGAATTATTTCGCGCAGCAGCCGACAGAGAAAGGTTTCAGGAAATTGTAAGCATGATGACGGCCAACGTCTGAATACGGACACGGCACCCAAAGAAGAAGAAGAAGTCTATTGTGATGTTCATAGGTAATATTCTTCTGGAGATATAACGGCAGTTATTTATGTTGTTTTTAATTTTTTTTATGGACAAGTATACCTACGCCTACACTAGAAAATATTGGTTATAGTCTCTTTGGCTTTTACGTTTCTTCTTGGTTTCTTGGATTGCACAAATGTCTATGTTTTTATTTATCAGTTCTTCTATTATCTCTTGGTCTTTGTTGTTGAAAGAAGTTATGTTCGATGTTGCTAATCTGATTGTGGGCTTATTTTCCTTCTCGTTGTCCTTTTCTTTGCGTGGTTCGTCATCTTATGTTTATATCAGTTCTTTGAGCTCAGTTTTTTTTTACAATGGGTAGGATGCTAACCTGGCCCATCAACCCTCCTCTTTTATTCGGGCTTGGGACTGGCTGTGGGCATGAACGCAATTTCTGAGCTACTCAAGCCACCCAATCCTCGTTTTCATAACCCCCGGGCAGAGTTGTTCATATACGCATAAATTCAAAAGTTAATGATTTTGTTTTTAATAAAAAGAACTATTTTTAGCTTTAAGTGGTTTTCGTAGTATATTATTTTAACCACGGGTATCTGTGATATTTGTATGGTGGAGCATGAGATTTCACCTTTTTGCGTTAGGTTTAGGTTTACGTTTAGGTTTTTAAACCTAAATGGTCAAATAATACCAATGTTGTTGAAACAAAAACAGCGGCTTTGATTGAAAGTCAGTTGCCAAAGACTTGTGGTTGATGGATTAGTTACTATAAAATCGTTATCTATACAAGATAATCTTAACGAAGAAAAGTCAAACATATATGCCGCATGAATACAATTCGTTCAAACGCTTAATATATGAATCGGTATTATTAGCCTTTCTTCTTCTTTAAGTTCCATCTTCTATCGAAGGTTGGAAATCATCATGGCTATGCGGACTCTGTTGACTGCAGCTCTAAAAAGTTCTGCACTACTGCATTCAAACCATTCCCTTAAGTTCTTAAGCCAGGATATTCTTCGTCTTCCCACATTTCGCTTTCCTCGGATTTTGCCCTGCATAATAAGTTGTAATAATGCGTATTTTTGCCCTCTCATCACATGTCCCAAGTACTCAAGTTTTCGTCTTTTAATAATTAATATTATTCCGCCTCATTTCCTATCCTTCTAGTTACTTCCATGTTTGACATTCTTTGAATCCATGATATTCGTAGGATTCTTCTGTAACACCAAAATTCAAAGGCGGCCAGCTTATTCAGATGAACTTGTTTTAGTGTCCAAGCTTTCAGACCATAAAGAAGAGTAGAGAACACGTAACATCGAAGCATTCTCAGGCGTAGTTCTAACCTTATATCCCGACAACAAAGAAACTTTTTAAGTTTAATAAATGATGTACGTACTATTTCAATACGTGTCCTAATTTCTTTGGTTTGGTCTACATCTGATGTTATCCATGTTCCTAAATATTTATAGTTATTAACATTCTCAATTGCGGTATCTTCAATAGTCAATTGGATATTTGCATGTGCAGATTTAGTCATGATCATGCATTTAGTTTTCTTTAAATTTATCTTCAGTCCGTACTCTCATGACAGCGTTCATTAAGGCGTTGCATTAGGTTCTGTAAATCATTGTTGTTATCCGTAATTATTACTGTATCGTCTGCAAAACGTAAGTTATTCAAAACTTCTCCATTGATAGATATACCTTCTATTGAGTCTGAGAGCGCTTCTTGAAATACCGCTTCACTGTAGACATTGAAAAGTAGTGGGGACAGCACGCAACCCTGGCGGACTCATCTCTGTATTTTGATATTTTCGGTGTACTGGCTGTCAACTCTTACCTTGGCAGTTTGATTCCAATATAAATTAGATATAATTTTCAGATCACGACTGTCAATATTTTTGCTTTTTAATATATCTACAAGCTTTTTATGTTGAACTTTATCAAATGCCTTTTCAAAGTCTACAAAACATAAGTACATATCCTGATTCATGTCCATGCATCTCTGAGCCAGCACATTCAAGCCGAACAAAGCATCTCTTGTACTCATACCATTTCTAAAGCCAAATTGTGTGTCACTAATCTCATATTCAAGAGTTTTAACAATTCTGCTGTGAATTACTTTCAAAAATGTTTTAAGTGTGTGACTATTAGCCTTATAACGCTTTATTTCTGCATAACCTTGCGTCGTCAGACACTCAGCTAGATACCAATTCAAACACAGAAAGACCAGCGAATATTTCTACTTGTTTCCCACCTGTAGTGGTAGCTGCAAAAGGTGCAAAAGGTGACGCTTTATTTCTGCATAACCTTGCGTCGTCAGACACTCAGCTAGATACCAATTCAAACACAGAAAGACCAGCGAATATTTCTACTTGTTTCCCACCTGTAGTGGTAGCTGCAAAAGGTGCTATCTATTCTTATGGCCACAAACGAAATATGATTTA